GCATGTCAAGATGAGTGCTTATAGATTGAAGGTCTCTCACCATCCGCTTTGTGAGGCATCATAATGCCCGAAAACATATTTTCCACTATGCCGATGATCTGCCATGGCAAGTACAGTGACCATAATGACAATAACGCTGGATGCTGTCCAGTAAATGCAAACTTTGTTGATCAAATCAAGGTATCGACTTCCGAAAATATTGATCGAGGCACAAACGAGCATGACTGCCCAGAACATGGTTACCGTTTGCCATTCGTTTGCGACAAAATCATCATTCCATAGTGATATGGCGCTTAAAATAATCTGTGCCCCTGAAAAATTGATGCTTAATGTTACTGTCCAGTTGCCTACTAGAGTCAACCATCCATCGACAAAGGACATGATCGGTGCCCACTTTCTTGTTGACAGCATAGCGCTCCAGTAATAAACGCCGCCAGCAGTGGGATAAACGGAGCAAATTTCTGCCAAAGACGCAGCTATTCCTATAGAAATCAAAGTGACAAGTACCCAGCCCCATATAATGCTGACACACTGGCCATCGGCAAGAGTGATATATAGGGTTGTGCTTAGACCAAAAGGCGCAGCCATGATAGCAAAGGACCTAGGCCAAGCAAGGAGATGTTAGCACACGAAACATAGAACAACGTACACGTTGCATGCAGGACATACAAGCCCAAGATACTCATCATGCCAAGGTTTCTGGGAAGTTCGCTTTTGTATCCCATGTTTGCCAAAGCGGCATCAGCACTTGATTGATTCCCATAGTTAGGAGTATCTTTCGCCACAACATGGGCATCGTCTTTCGCGGTGTGTATTCTCCCCATATCGCAGGTAGGACACAGATGGTCCTCTGGGTGAGGCAGAGGTATCCCTCCGACAGCTTCAACTGTAAACCGCTCCTATCTCCAACTTGAAGATTTGTCTTTCACAAAGAACTTCTCCCCTCCAGGAATGAATATATAACTCCAAGCGGACCACAAATTTCAGCCCGCAAGTAAGAAAGAAAGGGCTGTGGCGCGAGTTATAAGGAGGTTCAAAGCTCCTTCAAAGCGGTGTAATTCGTCCCTGGCGTGAGAGTATTTTTAGTCAGTTTGAAACCTTGCAAAGCTTAAAAAACTGAGTGATTTGCAGCGAAACCACAAAACAGCCAGATTATATCTGGGACTTACCATGGGCGGCGTTTATATATCCAATGCAGATTTGCCTTATGACAGGAGAGGGGCCCCTCCTCAGCTCTGAGGCTCATTCTTATCTTGCTTGCAATGGCTGCGCCGTTATCAGTGGCACGATTTACTGCAAATACGTATGTATGTATCTACATTATCATATGTAAATACTACATTGCCGTCCATGGCGACTCGATAAGCAAATTTGTGCAGGGCATCAATCGCGTCGATAACTCCTCTTTCGCGATGTAACGTCGCGATTGCTATGCGGCCTTGTAATTCGCCAAAGTTGCTGAGGGGAAAGCAATCTGAATGCTGTCCTCGTCACGGAGAATCTTTTGGTAGGTCTTCGATATCACAGAACGATTAAAGGGTCCCATTGCTCTGCATATACAGCTTTCTCTGCAGGAGTCAATCGTAGCCGCGAGCCATTTCCGCAATTTCGTGACTCCTCGACACCCGATTTTCTCGAGCTGGACTAAACTCGTGCCGCGCCTGAAAATCAAGCTACCCATGCATGAACGCCTCCGTCTCCTGTCTGCCATGATGCTGTATAATTTTGCCCAGGTTTCTTCGATGCGCGACCCTGGAGCGGATGCTCGGCGATATCACTGAGATTTGACTCTACATTATACGTACGTTGTACACATTGCAAATAGAAAAGCCGATGGGCTCCACGCTGTTGGGCGTGATGTGTACAGGTTGATAGTTCATGTCCAAAAAAACGAGGAAGACCCTACTGGTCATGCAATCAGTAGGGCGGTCGACACAAACAAGCGAAAGACGCACATATGGGCCATTCCCTGTCCTGTATATGAGCAGTATGCAGTCGGCTTTCCACATGAGTGATTGACGACCGCAGACGCCCGCTTGCCTTTGTAGATTCGGCAAAGCGAGGCCGGACACCATAAAAAGCCTAGCAAATTCGAAAGTAGAATCAATCCACGTTGTCAATCGTTGGTAGCACCTGATATTTGGTTCGGTGTCACACACTGAAAAATGTAGCCAAATCAGACCTGTACATTTTCAACGAGCCCACGCCGGCCCAACTGTTCAGTGACCCCTGCCTTCAATTTGAGATG